ATTTCAATTTTATATAATAAGATATTCCAGCTCTTGTTGTTTACGAATTCGTGTTGAGTTTTTACCGTAGATATCCAAATTTTTGGAAAAAAAATCAAAATTGCATAATCACATTTTGCAATTTACTAATTTTGAAACTTCGAAATCGATAGCTCTGAATTCTTGCAAACGTTTTAACATTATCATAAGCATGGTAAATCGTTGATCAAAATGTATCCGTTTACCGTTACCAAAATGTTAATAACGTCATCTCAAAATTTTTATCGAACAAATCCTACCCAAAATATGTAAAATACTAGGGGCGACTGGTACCAGGGGCACAAAGGTACGTCTCCCCCCAAAATTACAACGTCTACAAATACACTGGACATGGCAAAATAGTAATTTTCAATATTTAAAAAATTATGCAGAAATTTGTGTCATACTTAATCAAAACTAATTTTTCAAAATTAATTTCTAAATATCTCGCTCCACTTGTATAAAGTATATCAAAACTTACATCCACTTACATCTAAAGACCAAATCATGGCTGATTTAGACGTTTTGTTTACACCGTTGCCATGGAAACCGTGCGTCTAGTCACGGTATTGCGATGGAATCGGGTCCTGTTCCGACAGTGCCCACCAGCAGTAACTCATTTATGGGTTTCGTCCTCTATGTCACGACGGTAAAAATTTTAAGTGTTCATGACAAAAGGAAATGCTGTCATAGGTATTTTAATAGACTTAACAAGCATAGTAAATTTTTGTGGAAGTGCGGTTGTGAAAAAAATAATAAATTGTTTTGTTTTGTGTGTCTCCTCAGTAAATATTGTACTGCATCTATTCAAATTGATACATCTATCCTTGTTAAAATGTTGACGTAGTCATCACAAAATTTTGTTAATGACAAATTCACTTGAAAAATACCCACAGCACGCTTCCTTACTTGCACTTTACCAGTCCACGTATCTCTTTATTTTAACTTGCAAGGATTATCATAAATTAGATAGAATTCGCAGAATGATATTTTATAATTTTTCAAAGAATCTGTATTTGTTAGCCTGTTCGTCAGAGGCGTTGGAATTTCTCTCTAAATAATGATATTAACCAAATTTTTATTAGTAGTACTGCACGTGTCCGAACTGACATACGTGTCTTTGTTAAATCGTTGATTGTAACATTTTCCAATGAGAAAAGTGGAAAATTCACTAGAAGCAGGCAAGGCCTTACGTTTCTTTAATGTAGTTAAAGTTTTGGAGCAATTGTTTGACCGTTCACCCAATTTCCCTGCACTCCGCGCCAGAACAAATATAAAGAAACACCGCACTATTGTATACAGGAAATATAATGCAGAATTATGAGAAAACATAACACGTGACAATAAAATAAATACTGGTAAAATTGAAAAATTAGAGAAAAAAGGAGAAGAAAAATGGGTATATAAGTTACAATGTCAGGCCTGCAACACAGCATACATAAGAGAAACAGGTCGAACAATAAAACAACGTGTTTGATACATTTGGACAAAAAAAAGTTTTGAACTATTTGCCTCAGAACAGACAAACATCAGATGAGAAGAATTTGGTTCCAATGATACATTGCGCACCACACAGAGATTTTAATAGGATAGAGTGGTGTTTCACGAAAGACATGTGGATTTTCAGCATTCCAACATCTCATATTACCTATAAAACAAAATTTCACAATTGTGATCCAAATTGACACAACAGAAAAGAATGTTAAATCCAGCAAGTTATCATCAATGAGTTGTTTAAGAAACCATCTGCAGTAGGCCAGTGATAGGCATGAAGTTCGTACGGGAAAAACTGGAACTTTTTTTTCACAATTTTATGGCAGATACCCACGGAAAGTCCAACTTCTTGCAACAGATGCCTCAACGAAGTTGATGGATTATTTTCCATGGGTTCTTCAACATCTTCCATGTCTTCATTGGTACACAATGTTGGTCGTCCAACCCCTTTTTTGTGGTGGACACTACCTGTTTCACGAAATACGCGCACAGTGTTTCTAACAACGTTTGTTGGAATTCTTGTAAAACAGCACTTTCAATGGCAACTCCATTTCTGAGGTAGGACTCAATCATTATGTTCCACAGAGAACACCATTTGCACTTTTATTTTCAAAAAATTTGTAAGTTTGACGTTTCAAACACCAACGCGGCTGAATGCTGAATGTATCAAAGACAGTCAGAATCTGTTAATTTAACGCACGGTATATACAAATAAAAAGCTATTCTTTATCTGCAAATATATAAAGTTCTTAAGAAGACACCACAAGAGACGGATTTATAAAGGGTGTGCAAACTTGTTTTACTTATTTATTTCGTAACGTACGATCAGCCACTCCTGGTCTTCAGCTAATTTTCCGTAGTTTCTTGTGCCGGAAAATCAATTATTGTTGGTCGCTACGGGTACCAATAGAAGTCATCATTTCAATTCTTAATAAATGATACACCACAATGTTGTTTACAACCAAGGAAAAAATAAAGAAAAATTTGAGGCGAGATATACCCCCCAAAGGTTACAATTAAGGCGATTATGTTTTGATTATTAACACAAATGTAACCCCTAGGATCAACAAAAAATTATTACTTTAATACCGTGGACCTCATGTTGTTTTCAGACAATCCAAGTACCGTTTGAAGCAACGTTTGAGGCGGATAGGATCAAACCCTCACCGGTGACTTTGAATTTGGACTTTAGTATTGATTAAGTTGATCCGCTAATCTCGTTTTTGAGTTGAAATTCATTAGACAGAAGTTACTTTTTCATTTATATACCTATTTACTCTTACATAGTCTTGGGTCAACCCTTATGTTGACCTAATTTATAGTTTTGCTTCTGTTTATGCATGTGCAGGGCCATTCACTTTCATCTTCTAATTCTGTTCTTTTTTCTTTTTTTTTTTTTTGATATTCTTTTTGAAATATAAGCGTTTATAATTAAGTATTAAATAGTTATTAAATTTTCCGATGTATCTTTGTTTGGATTAGTCGTAAGTATAGTAGGTTTGATGGTTTGTTACGTATTAATCGGGGTCGATTATTATTGGTCATAGTGACCGAGCTGTAAGCGCAGGTTTAAAAAAACCCACGCAGATCTGTCAGCCGATAAATCATAAATATATATGTAGGTATTATCAAATCGTTAGCTGAACTTTATTTGTCCCTGCCCCAAGAATCTTTTAAACTAATGTTTATGAATAGATGTCATATCATAGGGTCGGAAAATATCGGAAAACAGGAAGTACTTCCCATGCTAATTAAATACATAAATACAAAATGATAACAAAAAGTGTTATATAATTTTTTAATGACAATGGACCATGCATTAAACATTTATTTATTGTAAATTTTATAATTGCATACATTTGGCTTTAAATGTTAAATATTTAAGTAACATACATGTTACCACCGTCGCTACTTCATTGCATTGTCAGTTTCACATTAAGAATTTACAATTACAATTAAAAACTTGAGCACAAATTAATTAAAGCGAAAATCAATAAAATCAAACCTAGTCATTGTTATCCATGTTGTTATAAACTTTGATACCAGCAACTGCAAAACCTTGAGTCGTAAGTACTGCAGCAAAGATTATTATTTGCGACGGAACTGCAGATACCTGAGTATGATAAACGCTGCAGGTGTAACATGAAACTAACAATGAAACCTGATACTGAGAACATTACCGTGTGTGATTTATTTTCGCCACGGAAAAAGTGTAAAACAAGATACGTGTATATTCAAAAACATGATCATTAAAATTTCCAATTCAACCCTCTCCACTTATTCTAAACAAACACACAGGTTAAACGCATTCACAAAAACGACACCAAAAACATATTTTCACCTAGAGCGTAGTTCACGTCTGGCAAGCAAATAAAAATGCTTTTTTCAGATTAAGGACACGTTTTTGACAAATCAATTCTCTGTATAAAAAATCGGCCGTGCTTTATACAAACTTTACGGGCTTAGAGGGGTATGCGTATTGACAGTGGCCAGCACGCTACAGCATGAAATAAGACAATTACTGATTCAGCGCGATTTTATTCGCCTGAAATCCTCCTTGAAATGCTTTGTGCAGGGCCGGAGTCGGATTTCTGCCTAAAAAATTTTGATACGAGGGGGATTGATTGCTGACTTCCACCACATGTCTTTGATTGTATTTTACAAGCAACACTGTGCCCTCTAGTGCGGGCTAGTAGCTAAAACAAAAAAAAGGATTTGATTGCCAATATTGATATATGATATCTGGTCTTTGACTTATGTAATGCCAATGCATATAAATTTGTAAATTTCGGATAGGTGGCGTCTTGCAACTGAATTTATTTATTTTCCATTCCTGTAAATTGCGTTCAGCTTTGAACGACACAACCATAACCGATGGCTACATGGATATCAATATATAGGATGAGACGGAAATTCACCATTTCGTACAGAGAAAAATACTTTTATGGCCACCTTGTTGTACTACTTTGAATCTTGATTTTCTTTGATTCTTTGCACCAGCAACACAGTTATTTCTACGGTGTGAACACTGTTTTTGAATGCAAAAAAATGCAGATCGATTCTCCGTACAGAGTCAAACGCCATTATTTGTCGACTGACCAGAGTTACACGACGATATACGTTTACAATTAGGATGCAACAGCCGTTACTGAACATTCATTTGTGATTCTGACATTTTCACGGTTCAAACAATATTCATACAATGCGACCTACTAGACCATATTTACACACATATTTGAAACTTCTTTGACTGCCCCTGGGAAATTTCAAAAATTGGGACATTAATATTTTTAAAAAAATATTAAACATCCGTGCATACTGATTCAGAAAAAATATCTATTTTGAGCTGTATGGTCATACTAACAACGTTATCTCGGAATCTAGTCCGGCTCTGCTTTTAAATAAAAAGAAAAATGAGAACACAATAAGTCCACGTCGTAAATTGCAGGGTATTGATCCAGAAGTAATACAATGTGTAAAGATCTTACATCGACCGTGACGCCCGGAAGAGGGAAGACTTGAGCAGGTGGCATGTCACGGGGTACGTAACGATAGAACTCATTGCCGTCCTTATACCACTTGACGGAATACAGGGTCTCATCGTCCAGGTCGAAGTGGCACTCAAGGCGGGCATTCTGGTTCCTTACCACTGGGCTTGGTATACGAAGTTCCACCAAGTGCAAGGAGAGTGCACCTAAAAGAATAACACCTGATTAGTCAACTAGAATAGAGTTATAATCAAGTTGAACATAAATATTTCAATTTAATCTTGTATTCTTTTTATTTCCTGGAGGTAAGCTAGGATGCATTAGACTGTTTTCATGTTTTCATGACGTTTCATGATATCTAGAATATAAAAAGTAGGTCTCCGATTTTGTTCGGTCTGCCTGTCGTCTGTCTGTGTGTCTATTTTTATTAAACAGATATTACCCGAAACTATTTGACCGACTGTTGCCAAATTTTATATGTAGATGGTAAAACACAACCAAAATTTGTTGAATCGCGCTCGTTCTCGTACTCTTGTACTTGTGGTTTATGAATTCGCCTGAGTTTTTATCCTCGGCATCCACATTTTTGCAAAAACATCGCAAGAAATTCTAACCGAAAATATGTAAAAATCTTAACTGTCCTTTAATACTCCCCCGCTATTTTAATTTTAAAAAATAGGGGTTCTTTGATTGTGTTCCTAGCACATTACAAAAAAATTGGATACTTTTTTTATTTGTGCGTATCGAAATGTAAATGTATGTTCCTTCTGTGTAGATAACCTAATTTTTGGTATTTTGTTGAATGCATGTAATATTAATAAATAATAAGTACAAAAATCATTAACACGCAATTATTAATCCACCCTATTATTTAATGTAATGATACAAATCTCGTGTGAATTACTCTGTGAAAAATCTGAAATTAAATCTAAATTGTTAATTAGGTGCTTTGTAAATTTAAATCATATTTCATTTAAATGTCAAAGCAAAAGATCTTAAGCCATTGCTTTATGTTGTAAATTCCACTATAATTTCTTTTTTGCAGTAAGAGTAAAACAACAAACACAAAATAGCAGCGAATTAATTGCGTAATGAATATCTGAGAATTCGCGAAGTTTATTTTTCATTTCCACAGTAGAGAATACATTTATAAATGTATTGTAATTAGTCGTTAACTATTTATTCAATATGATTTAATGGAAAATCAAAATTCCCTTTGATTATTATTATTAAATTACCAAGATTAAATTTGACTCACTTGATGAAGTCACATTAAACCATCATTATCGATTTTATATTTAGCCAATCCATCGGAAATGACTATGACATAATGGAGTAAAGAGAGATTTGTTTCAAAATTAATGGTTTTGATACTTCTAAGCGACAATCATACAAGATGTAAAAATTCATTAATAATTTTACCTGTGCAAATGTCATATGGATCTCGAACTTGTTCGTCAAATTTTTAATATATTTTTTTAATAATAATAATAATCAAATTTATCTCACTTTTTGATTTATTTAGATAAATCATAGTGTATTCATTTCAAAGATAATTAAAACAAATGCTTTTAGCTAAATAAAATTTTAAGCGAAATTGACGATATGCTTTAAATACTGTCCAGTTGGGTCAGTTCAGAATAATAAATTCAAACATCAAAACCGTCATAAAATGTTCATGTGTCGATTTTGTTAATTATAAAGTGGCTTTGACGTAACGTTGAAAAACAACGATGGTTAATTCAAAATGTGAAATTGCTGAATAATGATAAAACTGACAGGAATATATACATCGAGACCTAATAGATAGTGAAATGTCAGAACTGATGATTATTATTATTTTACGACCAGTTTATAAGGGAAGTAAGCCAAAACTTGATGACAAAGAAAAAAATTTAATAAACTTGAAACCGAAGGATTTCATCAATATTTTTACTTTACATAGTTTATGAAGACCTTTTTTGAAGCTGAGCCATGTAAAACAGAATTTGACATAATGTGGTTTATGTGTCAACCCGACTGCACAAAATATTAATAGAAAGAGATAAATATCTGTTGTGAATAGCAATAGTTTGAAATGATCAACCAAGCGTTCTATGAAGTAGTTGACCAACGATAGAAGTTATCAAAGCTGTAGCGTAATATTGGTAACTTCCATTAACTCCCACACGATTGCTGGAGATTCATTAACTACGTTTGAGTCGAATTTATATTGAGTGAAAACACTTCAGTAGCAGAGCTCGAACTCAAAATATTGTATTGTATCTACGCGAATAATATATGAGTAGGTGAATGTGGTAAATTAGATTTTCGCATTTCAGTTATGTACTTTCAGACGTATTATGATTTTCCTTTGCGTCGCTTTTTTTATAAAAACGTACGGTTTGCACTTCCCAATGTAGGTACATTTTTTTAAGAAACGAGTGTAATAAGCTGGAACACGACGATTTTTGAAGTCAAAAGCTTTGCGAACAAACCGGGGCATTTTTACATTAATGAAAAAGCAAAGGTTGGAGAACACACTCTCATATGCATAATTTACTAAGCGGCAGCATTTGATGTCGCTCTATAGTATTAAACAGTTTTAAGCCAATTCTTTTGACATCAAATGCACCTGGACAAAATCAAAACGTGCTGTCGAGTTATTTATTAAAACCTTCGTTAAAGTGTAAATACGATGTCCTGGGCGTACTTTTTCAATCACACTGTGTAAATTTTTAAATGTAGCTGGTGTACCGGTTCGTCAAGACGGTAATAATTTACACAAAAAATCTAGTTCGTGTACGCTCGTTGTTAACTCAAATTTAAACAAGATAGACAAGAACACTTGAATAAATGAAGCCTTGTTTCAACAAGTTGAAACGTACTCTGTTAAATGAACTTTCAGAAAAATCGCGTATACATCACAGAAAGAAGGAAGTCTTTGAACGACAACTAGTTTAAGTGGAAGCTCTGAGCTTTTGTGGCAGATATCGCCAAGAAAGTAAATGAAACCAAATCAAATCTCCTTTGTGAAAACGTCATGTCTCTTGCTTTACATTTATTTTGACTTTATTTATTCTTTATCTTTATTCACACTCCAATGCGCAATTCCCGCCCCAGTGCGATCTATTTCTTAAAAAAAAACTCGAGACTTTTTTATTACTAATGCTGTTAAATTTATTTGAACACTACCATTCCCGGTTTCATGGCAAATGCCTTGAATAACATAAAACAAATACCCGTGTGATGGTTATTAGTGCAAACATTTATTTAGGGAACGGGGGTTACGAGACAGATCAAGCATTGAGTAGGATATATTCATGCTGAAAATAGAGTTACGTAAAGAAGGGACCAGTTGCCTTTAATCTTCTTGTTGGAAATCTTCTACACGGTCCCTATCGTTCCGAGCTTCAATTCGAAGGCGATTTGCATCCTATAGAATTTACAAACTGGGACAAAATCCCGCCCAAAAATCATGTTTAATTAATAGCGTGCACGAAACCATCGTATAACACATTATCATACATCTATACTCTAGATAAAGTAAAATAAACATTTACAAAAAATAAATCAAATGCACTAAACAATAAATTCCCGAGTACTTATGGTAAGCTTCAAAGCAAAATTTAAGTGAATTTTAAAGTTAGTTATTGAAAAAAAAATGCCCATTGTAGAAACATGAAAATCGTAGGACTGACTTCATGACATTTATGTAAATAAGTTGCAGAATAATATCACAGTTCAACAACATCTCTACATAATACTGAATAGCAAGTTCAAGCTGTTATTACAAAAACAATAGCTGCTTGTTAACGGAGTCCGTCTTCAGATTCTTTGTAACAATAAACATTCTCAATATAATCTTCTGGTAGCGATCAATCGCTTCGATTGTATATTTCCCGAAGCACTTTTCTTGTTTATATTCTTAATTTTTTCCGGTTGAAATAAGCCTCATTATCATTACTTTTCCCGGTTCCGTTTCGTACCGATTTTTCGTATTTCATAATCTCAACACACAAAATGCTTTAACGCAAACAAGCATGCAGCAACGTGGAAGAGAACAATTCGTTTGAGCTCTAATTACACAAACACACCAAGAAGCCTCTTAGTATTTAGGTGACCACACCTTCGAAACTCTTTACTTTGGATCATTACAACAACCTGTAACATCTTAAGTAGCAGAAAGCACACTGCATTCCATTCAGAGCTTTGACACCACTTTAACCCAACTATTTTCAATAATTTCGTATTGTTGTTGAATTATTTTTTCTTTTTCTATTCCCGTATCTCAAACCTTGTTTAGCGTATATAAATGTTTAAACGTTTAATCACAGTGTTATAATCCGTGTCTTTGGACCCATTAAACAAAAGTCGAAGGTGCGTTCGGGCTCATTAGTCACGTCTTCAGTGTGTTCGGCTGTTTTCGTATTCATTAACGCTCCGCCCCGCTCGTGATTAAATAGACTCGGGACTAAGATGCGTTTATAAAACTGATTACATAATGTATGTACTTACTGAATAAGTAGGTATGATTGATGGCTTTCTACTCTTCTGTCTATAGGGGTGTTGTGCATTAAAAGTACTTTCTAAACGCTTAAAAACATACCGCTAGGGTATTTTCCGAGAATTACAGTGTATAAAAAACTATCTCTACATTCCTTTTAAGATATTTACCGACCTCCCTATCCCACTTCTCTTTATTTATTCTATTTATAGATGTTTAAGCTTCTGCTAATGGTGCGCTGTAACTTCACATAGCCACCAGCACTAAAATATTTTTCTCTGCGCTGGTGGTACACGAAAACTAATTAAAAATTTTTCTTAAACTTGAGGATTATAGAAAACCATGTCGCTTCGGTGGGCTTAAAAGATCAAGGACGTTAATTAAAAGCAAAGTAAGACTATTATATACCGAGTGTTCTTTTTTTTAATTTCTGATCTAGTCACCCAAGAATTTGTTGACAAAATAAACTTGAAAAGTGTCCTGTTTTTTTTAATGTCTTTCAGAATATCAGTCAGGACAAAATAAATGTTAAAATAATCCAAGAAATAACTACGTGGATTTTTGTCGCATTATTAGTAAACACCCTATATGAACAGGTGTCCCAATTTGTCTATTCCACTGTAATATCATTTCCGAAGAAACAAAATACAATGTAACACTAATACTGTATCCGTTTTAAACTTATTTGTATTAGTTAATCGTAATAATAACTGAGATATT